TTTCTGTCCTCAACCAACAGATCAAGGAATATACGAACAAGACCTGGAATGGGGTGTCTAATTCACCTCTAATTTTGGTTTTAATTTTTTGCAGAGTGCTGATTTTTTCCAATAAATCGTACGAAGGGTGGAATTGTTAAGAACAAGTCTGTAAGCAGTTGGTGGAGTTAATAATTGTCTTCTCTACGTCTTTTAATTTCTATAGCGCGTTTTCACAGTCGGTTCCGAAATTTCTAGTCTCCGGGGGGTAGGAGATAAAAGAGGTAATCTTATTTCAGAGAGCTGATACAGCACGAATAGGTACTTAGATCATTCGTTCACATTGTCATGAAGCAGAATTCAGAGCGTAGTTTCTCCGCCAAAGTAGAGTGCATTTCGGGGGGTTGTGACGAATCCAATTGGACCTTAAAGTAAGATGGCTCACTTAACTAATGGATACTGTGGCGTCACGTAACATCGCTCACTACTTGTCATATCCTGTTTTCTGTTCCGATCGAACTTACGCGCAAACAATAACTGCCAATATTGCCGTACTATAAATGCAGATACATGGCACATGATTATTAATTGCCCGCAAGTAATCACTATTTGGGAGCTAGTGCAGTCGCTAATTAAAAAAAATTGATCCGAACCGTTCTCTACCGACTCCTCAGAATTGGGTAATTTGTGGACTACAGAGCAACACAAATCATGTTATTTTATCCAATTTTTTAATTAGTTACGCAAAATTCTACATTTACCGTAATGCCATAAGTCAAATGAAATCAACCCGAGTAACACCAAATCTTAGGAATGCCTTCATTATCGCTTTAAAATAGTATATTAAGATACAAGTGTATAATCAAGTCTTTAAAGCACGCGCAACGAGTTTAAGGGCACGACGCAAAGCGGAGTGCCTTTAACGTTGCAAGTGCTTTAAAGATCAATTATACACGTGTATCTTATAGTATTTTTTATTATACCTGCAGTATAATTTAAAAATAGGAAATTCAATGAAATCATATTGACGTTATACTCGAATACATGTCTAATTAAGTGGGCTGGGTGTTCGTAATTTCACGATTGCCATGAAAATGTCACTTGACGTTTGCTTATAAAAATCGTCGTCTTTGTGAATAAAACGATTTCCGTTGAAAAAGATAATACACCGTCCATTAAATCGCTTGTTGTAAAATCTAAACAAACGTTGGTAGGTGTAAAATCTCAATCCAGTAAAGCCTATTATCAAGCATATGAAAAGTTGTTTCCATGGATGAATAGGAAGTTACTTACGAATAAAGTCTTAAATGCATCGATAATGCTGGCATATATGAAGGAAATGTCAAAGGTATTAAATCTTCTATCTTTTGGTGCATTCATTCAAAACTTCACTTATTACTGGGACTAAAAAGTGGAACAGATTTGGAATCATACCCTAAATTACGCGCGTTTGTAAAAGCTTCAACCAAAGGATAGGTACAAGCCAAAGAAATGCTCTGCATTTACAGAAAGCAACTTAGGCAGATTATTTATTTCACCCAGATGACAGTTTCAAAAGTCATACTTGAAGTATCGTTACTTAGCAACTTTAAAGCACGTGTGTTTTAAAGGCCTTTTTTCGCACGCATTTGAGTGTTTAAAACGGAGATTGTGATTCAGGTATAATAAAAACTATCATCTTACACAACTATTCGTGGCATTTGGGAAAAAATTCATGTGAAGTGTTTGTAGATCACTGGTGTATAAATGAGGTGATATGTTACATGGACAAGTTCAATATACCACAGTTTAAGCTAGAGAGCTAGAAGAGAGTTGAATGGCGAAGGTTGTGACGTGTTTATTTTTATTCTTTTTGTTAAAAGGTCAAAAGTGCTGATGATCATATAGTTTTGTAATTTTGTATATATTGTACAGTTGTAATAATAATAATAATAGACCGAGAGCCCGCGTAGAAAATACCTCGTCATAGGGTACAAAAGGTTTGATGTAACTAGGCAGTAGAATGTCACCGTGTGATTCCAAAATCGCCCGTCTGCCGGCCAGCAGCGGTCAACTTAGCGTGGGGGCGAATTTTGAAAACTGTTCCAAATCACATAATACCTCGCCGCTGGTACATGTATGATTTTTTGCAATCTGATTCGGAAATGTGCACCAAATTCATAGTTGCAGCGGCAGACGATTTATCTGGGCAACTTTCCCGAGCAGACGCGTTTAAAAACATTCAAAAATTGTTAAATACATCGTCATAAGGTACACGCTCGAATTATAGCTTAAAATAAAGCTCTTTGAATGTAGAATTTGGGAAAACCATGAAAAACACAGCAGACGGTCGTATAACTGTAGCAGGCGCCTTTGAAATTTGTAGTTCCATCTGAAGGTACTTTTTTGTTGAATATTGTGATAATTAGCGATTTATTTTCATACAGAAGTTAACCGCACAAAATTGCTTATTTGGCAATTTATTTAAAATTTTGCGGGATTAACATCTAACGATCCCGCAAATACCGGGATTGAGATTTTGCTGCGGGATTGCATTCCCTAGATGGCACGAATGAACTCCTACATTGTGTAGTCGGTCCTTGTACGTGAGACATAATTGGGAAGGGAATTAAATAAAAGACAGAATTTTTGTGCTTACGAAATGACAAAAACAAATAAATATATTACGCACACAGCAAGGCCATACCAGGGAAACCTTCTACGGGACAAAAACCCCCGGCATAGGTCACACAAATACATGAAATAAATCACATACAGCAACAAAATTCAAGAGAAAATACACATACATTAAACATCTCTAATTGTATGATAAAAATCGGATAATCGAATTAGATGCAATTAAACAAATTCATAAAAACAAAATACGCCAGACATCATAAATGCAGTGGAAAACATTATAAATCAATGTAATACAAAATCACACAACCGATCAATTGAGGTAACACAACCCGTAAAATGATAAATTGCATGCACATAGGAAACATCAAAATAGTGTGGCTCTTCTCCAGCCTCCGTTAACATAAATTAATTTATATGTGATGAAGTTCTCCATTTTCTGGTTCTGCTTCATAAATTAATTTATTAACGCGAAAAATACATGTGAGAGTGCCAATAGCAAGTATTCATATGAAAATCGTCTATGGCTCAAGCAAAACACATTTTAAATAGAGAAATGTTAATGAAAGGGTCCCCTAAATATATCGTACTGCTAAGATGCCAAGAACTGTGATCCGCACGAGATAAGTAGGCAACAGATACAGCGAACGGTCGAACTGTAATAGGTACCTACTCCCTATTACAGTTCGACCGTGCGCTGTATCTGTTGCCTCATCCAACGTGATAGAGACAATTTTGAGTTCATTGACAGAGGCGACAGACTCTGGTGGTCTTTTTGTGCTAAGAAAAGGCTTTTCCCTTATGGGAGTACTAATTTAGTCAACGGATTTAGTCAGTCACCCCGTTTTGTCACGGTTTTTGAAGGGGATATTGAAACTTCGACCACCTAAAGCAAAGTACGACGTTGTTTGAGACCCACACATAGTTCTTACATTTTTCAAATAACGACCAGCACACCACCACACGGTGGCAAGTGGTATGGAGTAATCGCTTGTTTGAAAGGTCTTTCGAAGAAGTTTGATTTTTTAAAATCGGTCGATTCGTTTTCGATAAAATTAGAAAAATCTAAATTTTAAATTAAATTTAATTATTAATTAGTAAAAAGTCCAAAGATACCTATGCGAAGTTATCTTACCCGGATGTCTGGCGTTAAACGTGACGGCAGTTTGTCGAGCACATTGATTTTAGGCACCATAAATTAGAATAATTTCCACTCTTTGGGCTAGTATGTAAACCATTTTGGAAGTAAAATTTTGATTTTAGTCTCCCAAGATTGTCATAAAGATAACTGATTACAAATTAAATTTTTTCTTTCCCACAGCAACAAATAAGTGATATTTTCGTTTGTTTTTGTTTTCTATCTGAAAAAATTAAGATAGGTCGATGAAATAAATTAAATAAAGATTTTTCTAATTTTCTTGAAATCGAATTACTCGATATCGCTTGTCATCTAACATTTTTTATGGAATGACCCTAAGGGGCAGAGGGTAAGAGAGGGTGAAGTAGTTTTTGGTTAAAAGGTTGACAAATCTTTTGACGTGTCTCGGTGTTTTCTCCTTTAATCAGTGGTTTTCGATAAATCCATGGTGGGAAGCTTTCAAATGAACACCCTGTATAGCGTTTCCTGGTAATACTGATTTTCCTATGGTATTGCATTCTTCGACATCAGGTATGGTCTACGGTCTACCAAAACTGTAGAATACAAAACGGGCCCTGGACGCCCGGAAGGAATGCTGCTGAAGTGTCTTTTGAATATTTCGTACGAATACCTCTTATTGTGCAATTGATCGGGCTACTAACTGTATATTTATATCCTCTGCTTTAAAGCAACTCCCGCAATGTTATTCTTAGCGCGCTACAAATTCAGTGTCAGACACTGAAATACTGCTCTCAGATGTGTTTTGAAACGTTGACTTTGGAATTTTGATTTTACCGTATTAAGTTTTAAAGTTTAAAAAGAGCACATGCTCAAACATCCAACAACTTTTTTTTCTAATGAAACCACATCTTTATTTTCCTTTTGGAATTTTACATAGTGTTTCATATACAGGGTGTCCCATTTTCGACACTTTCATAGGCGTTAAAGTCAAAATTTGCACATTTTTGCTTCATAGATCCGGAGATAAATCAAACAATTTTCAATTTCAGAATGACCCTATATATTCTTAGTAACAACAGAATCAAAAAAATGTTTCTTGAAAATTATTGATAAATAATCTGCCGTTTTCAAAATAAATAATCATACAGTATCGGGTCAAAAAGTTATTGGATCTAACTTCATTTTATTTAAATGGCATACCCTGTATATTTCAATCTACAAATAGCATATTATATTCTTTTTTTTAAATATAACACTGAAAAAATTCAATATCGATTCAAAAAGGTTCAAAAAAGAAAGGTTGAAGGATTTATAGTGGATTACCTATTATAATAAATTTTTTTTTCTTTTTTGGCGATCGATTTCGACATTTATTGTCATCATCTGGCCCTAGCTAAAATATACATAAATAAAATCTCGTATGTTAACAAGTTAGAGGTTTTCTTACCGTCAAAGTTAAAATATTAAAATATAGATGAATGGTGGTAACATAAGTTATTTTTTGTGAGCCGATGTGGATGTAGATGTGGCGGCTGAAATAAATTTTGTGAAGTTAGTAAATCGTGTAAGGTGTATGTGTCTGTATGTATTGGGTGTGTTTAGGTTTATGTAGTGTTTGTATGTGTAGATTTTATTAAAATATTAAGAGCTTACTCAACTGTGTTGTGGCTGTAAAGTGAGGTTATGTGTGTTCATTGGCGTGGTGTGTAAAAGGGGGCATCGATTTGTATAGGTGATTAGTGTTAAATTCTGTGATGTCGTTGCTAAGGATAATATTTTTGTCCAGAAGGGCTTTGTGTATTTCGTAGTGTTCTAGTATTGTAAGTTTTTGATATTCTTTGTATTTGTGTAAAATTTGTGTGTTTTCTATTGAGATGGTGTGATTCGTGGATTTTGTATGTGTTCCTATTGCTGAATGTGGTATATTTTTCTTGTGTTCGTTAAATCTAATTTGAAATTGGCGAGTAGTCTGTCCTATGTATATACATATAGTTGCATTGATCGCATGTGATTTTATAAATTCCTGATTGTAGATGGTGTGGTTCTTTTGGTTTGTTGTTTGTTAATATATTATGTAATGTGGGATGTGAGGGTGGTGTTGTGTGGTTTTAGTAATTTCTGTAGTGGTCTTTGTATATGTTGATAGTATGGAATGGATAAGTATTTGGATCTGTGTTTGTGATGTGGGTAGATGTTTTTTAGGCTGTGTTTTGTTTTTGTTTTTTTGAAAATGTTATGTATATAGTTTAGATCGTAATTGTTATTTAATGCTATTTGAAGAATGGTGTTGTATTCTAAATTAAAATTTTGTGTGTCGAGTGGGGTGTTTAGTAATCTATTAGTAATCTATTAAATAGTAATCTATTAAATAGGAAGTGGAATGCAGTGTTTTTTATGTTAGGGGAATGATGTGAGTGGTAAGGTATTATTATGTCGGTGGTGGTGGGTTTTCTATAGATATTATAAGATATGTAAGTTGTGTGGTTGTGCAGTGTGAGGTCTAGGAAGTTGATTTTTCGGTCTTTTTCTATTTCTAGTGTGAATTTTATGTTAGATATGTTATTTATGTGTGTGTGGAAATTTAGAACACTACGAAATACACAAAGCCCTTCTGGACAAAAATATTATCCTTAGCAACGACATCACAGAATTTAACACTAATCACCTATACAAATCGATGCCCCCTTTTACACACCACGCCAATGAACACACATAACCTCACTTTACAGCCACAACACAGTTGAGTAAGCTCTTAATATTTTAATAAAATCTACACATACAAACACTACATAAACCTAAACACACCCAATACATACAGACACATACACCTTACACGATTTACTAACTTCACAAAATTTATTTCAGCCGCCACATCTACATCCACATCGGCTCACAAAAAATAACTTATGTTACCACCATTCATCTATATTTTAATATTTTAACTTTGACGGTAAGAAAACCTCTAACTTGTTAACATACGAGATTTTATTTATGTATATTTTAGCTAGGGCCAGATGATGACAATAAATGTCGAAATCGATCGCCAAAAAAGAAAAAATTTATTATAATAGGTAATCCACTATAAATCCTTCAACCTTCATTAGAGACCTATTAATGGAGTCGTTCATCAAGAACATGTTCAAAAAAGAGTTCTTAAAAATTCAAAAATTCGTTTGTAGTAATTTCTAATTTTTTCAGTGTCAGAAAAAAAGGCGCTAGTTCGTAGAAAACGGTTCCTTTTGTTGAGACCTGTAATTAGAATACCATGAATGGTTAAAACGCCTGGTTGCGCCCCCCCCCCCTCCGCCCATTTTTAAAAGTTTACTTGTCACTAAAGGCATGCGCATGTAAAATCTGAGACCAATTGGTTGTCACATGCAAAAGTTTAGGACCATTCCCGTAAAAGTCGTTCAACACGGCAAAAGTGGTTCCTGACCGACGGAGAACGCGCAAAATAATAGCACCAGCGCTAAAAACACGCACAAAAAGTACAATCTTTGTCGATCTACCTGTCATTGCGTTGTTGGTTAGATTGTAGAGCATATGTGGTAAAAATAAGATGCAAGTTGTCTTCCGTGTTGAATAATTGAAGAAACAACTCCCACGCACCGGAGGGCGTTTGTTGAACTGTATTTCGGTTGAAATTGTATTGTAGAGAAAAATTTTAATGAAACTCTAAAGTGTGAGAGTGAAGGAACTACCTTCGGAACTAGATTTAAGAAAACACATTTCGTAACTAGGCGCTCCTCGACTAACTAGCGCCATCTCAGAACGAGGGGACCACATATCGGCACGCTAATGAACGTACGATTTTCTATTTTTACGGTTAGTTACAACCCTTTAGAAGCTGATGACAGCCTCTCCTAGGCGAAATTAGCAATGCCAGTTTATCCTATTTGTTTGTAAATCTTATTGTATTTCCTCTATGGTGTGGGTCAAACATTAGTACCCAATATTCACAACAATTAACTAAATGCGATTATAGTACTTGCACCAAAGAGTAACTATAATACTCTTTACTTGCACTACGTGAAAATGCGTTAAACCTAATCTCTGTTTCTATTAGTGCCATAACACCCCATCGCTGCAGAAATTATTTAATCTGGACCTTTTATCGCCAAATGCTGCAGAGATACAAGTTCTTTTTCTACTAAGAGTCTGTAATTGGATCGATACTAACTACCACCAACCTCAACTATGCTACCGTGCTAAATATCTCCTTTCAAAAAGTCTCATCATAAATTTTCTCTTTGTAACACTCCGAATAACATCAAATACTTAGTGTTAGTGCACCAATTTATGAATCTCTGAAAGGGACCGACGCCGACGTTCCATAAAGCGTAACTTAATGTACATTACGAAGAAAAAGTCAAAGAATAGTAAAAAAATTCAAATGTACTCGGTCTTCTCTCTGTGTTAAAACGCGCATCAACGCTTCAAATGGACTGTATTGTTGATCGTAATGGAACGTGGCAAAGTAAGGATCCTGTCAGAAGCAGCGTAATTTATAACTTGTCGACTTCTGACCCAGTTAGGGGAGTGTTTTTTTTTACTCTGGCGGAATATTATAAAGCGAACAACAAAAACAAATTAGGGTGTCGTCTGCAGTCGTGATGAGACTAGAAGGGAGAGTTCGAAATGTTTCCAGACCTAGTGGACTGGTGTACTACGAATGAATCACGATCAATAGACTAAGTTAATATTGAAATCCGTGCACAATTTGTGCAAGCTAAGGGTTCGAAAAAACTTGCCAAATGCACGTGAGATGGGCGCTAATTTGATAGACTGGCACGAACAAGAAACGTTGGGTAATCCGTTTTGGTTCAATAACTTAGAAACAAGTTTTCCGGAAATTGCTTGAAGAATTTAATAAACCCGCAGTAAATAGGAGCTAGCAATAGCGAATAGTGACACGTATCTGCAGATAGCTACAAATGGAAGATTAAATACGAAACTGGAACAAATTTGATTTAAAACTCATGTGCTTGACAAGGTATGGTTAAATTGCGTTACTCACGTACACATCAATAGCAATTTAATAACGATCTTGTTTCTTTTATAAACATCAGATACTCTCGATGCCTTTTTTATGTCTCCGTTACGTGATTCGATAAGAATATCTTGTGCTGAAAATAGATACGACAATTTCAACCTTAAAGCTTAAGCTTTTACGACATTAAGTGCTGGAAATTGCATCCCGAAGCATGTACCCTGAAAATAGCCTTGAGTGTTGGATTATGCTACCCCTTGCATCTTAAATTTTAAACCTTTAAACCTTAATTTTTACTGTTAGGGCTTGAGATTTGGACTTACATTTTGAAGTCTGACTACTGATCATTTTTATACCCAGCTCGCCTCTCAAATCTTGAATCTTAAAACCTGGCCCATGCAGTTTAAACCTTTAACATTTAATTTTTATTTAGAACCTTGTAGTAACCTTAAACCTTAATCTGCAATACTGCTTCCTGAATCTTGTATTTTAAATGATGAACCTTGTACCTTATATACTGTTCTTAAATCCCAAAATTTAACCTAGGATCTGAATTAAAACCTTAAAAGAAACTCAAAGGTAACCCTCTTCTTTGATGACCAAAAAATGTACATACCTATTTAAATAAGAGGGCTAATTTTTATAGATGAGTGTAACAATCATCGATGAAAATTACAATATACTCGTATGAAATATCAGCCGAAACCTAAAGAAAGATCCACTTCAAGTACATAAAATACTAATGGCCTACTTACGAAGAAAAAGTAAAAACACACTTATATCCTCTCTATATCGGAGTAAAAAGGTGAATCCGTCCAATAATGCGGAATCCCTCAATTAAATGAATTCAAGTGCCAAAGATGAATATAAATATGGACGGCGGAAATTAAAATTCCATGCGTTTTCACTAACGCCTCAGGTGTTTTCAAACGAAGTGCACTGCTCTTTTAGGATTGGTTTTAGAGTATCAATCTTGAATTTTAGAGGTTGCGCGTTGAAGCTTAAATTTGAGATTTGAATTTTTGAACTTGCATCTTAAAGGTGGAAACTTTTCTTGCTGTAAGGTGATTTTGCTTTTCGGAAACTCAAGTCGGCTGGCCGGAGGTCAAAAGATGTACCTTTGAACAGTTTAATTGTGTGATAATCCACCCTATTGGTTAGACAACACACCTTTAGATCTGAAACAAAAATATGATATGCTCTGTAAGTATGTAACCAATCGACCGTTTTGCGCAGATGCCGAATACTAGGGGATTTTCGTAACGAAGCTAGGGGAAAAAAGAGCGTGGCGGAAGAAAAGCAAATGGCGACGGAGTCGACGGAAAGCATCACGTGTTTCCGGTTTTTATTCTTGATTATTTTGGTTGTAGTGTTTTGAAGTTGTAATTACAGGTACAGGTACCTAGGTGTACTCCATGCTTTTGTTTTTGAGTACCGTTAGATGAATCATGTTTGTTATACTGTTCAGGTGATTATGCCATTATTTTGTTTTATGAAGTATTTATGTCTGTATTCACGAGGAGTTGATTATCAGTGGGATGTTGCTCTTGTTTACTCTTCCGTGAGGGAAGTACCTAGTACAGTTTGATTGTTCGCTGTATCTGTTACTTTCTTATTCATGGCGCGCTGCAGTTCTTGTGCGTTAGCTATACGAAGGGGGGGGCTCTCTTATTTGATGTTTCGATGTTTGTGTGTGTGAGTGGTTCATTCTGTGTCCGCCTGTTGGCTGTATCTGTTGCCTACTCGTCTCGTGCGGATTGCAGTTCTTGGCATCTTAGCAATGCGAGATATTTAGGGGTCCTCTCATTAACGTTTCCTCTATTTAAAATATGTTCTGCTTGAGCGATAATCGATTTTCACATTAATACTTGCTATTGGCATTCTCACATGTACTTTTCGTGTTAAATTAATTTATGTTAACTGAAGACTGGAGTAGAGCCAGAACATTTTACTGTTTCATATGTACATGCAATTTATTATTTTACGAGTTGTGTTATCTCAATTGATTGTACATGTATTTTGATGTGTTTTTGTACTACATTGACTTATCATGTTTTCCACTGCATTTATGACGTCTCGTGTGTTTTGTTTTTATGGACTTGTTTAATTTCATTTGGTTTAGTTATCTGATTTTTATCATACAATTTGGTTTGTTTTATTTATGTGCATTTCCTCTTGCATTTTGTTGCTGTAGGTGATTTATTTCATGTATTTGTGTGACTTATGCCGGGGGTTTTTGTTCCGTAGAAGGTTTCCCTGGTATGGCCTTGTTGTGTGCGTAATACGAGTATATTTATTTGTTTTTGTCTCTTATTTAATTCCCTTTCCGGTTATGTCTCACGTCCCAACATGTATAAGAACCGATTACACAATGTAGGAGTTCATTCATTCGTGCCATCCATATTGGGACGACTGCTACCCAAATTCAAAAGTGTCGCAAAACGTCCATCGTTTCGACTTGAAAGGTAGGTGGCTGTAGGTAATTTATTTCATGTATTTGTGTGGCCAATGCTGTGGTTTTTGTCCCGTAAAAGGTTTCCCTGGTATGGTTTTGTTGTATGCGTAATATATTTATTTGTTCTTGTCATTTCTTACGCACAAAAGTTCTGTCTTTTATTTAATTCCTTTCCCGATTATGTCTCACGTCCCAACACATACAAGAACCGATTACACAACGTAGGAGTTCATTCGTGCCACTCATATCGAGCCGACTGCCATCCAAATTCAAAAGTGCCGCGAAACGTCCATCGTTTCGACTTGAAAGGTGGGTGGCTCTACTCGTAGTTTTTGCTCAGAGTTTCCAACGGTAAGTATAGGGTAAGTCAACATTTTCAGTGTCGGCTTGATGAACCCCTAGGATCATTACAATTGAATTATTAACTATATAAGCATTTAGTTATAACCTTCTCTGCATCAGGTGGTCAGGCGGAAAGCCGGTATCGTACACACCGCAGATGCTGTCGTTGTCAAAGACCGACTGTGATGTCGGCCAAATAAATAGACCCCCCCCCCACATATTTTATTTATAAGATTGTGCAACATAGTCTGGGTTTCTTT